GCCATACTGAGATGTTGAGATTGAAGAACCAGTTCTTTTATCTCTGCTATCAGATCTCTCAGGTCCTACAATGTTCCCTCTGGACTTAAGTATGGACCCATCTGGGGTCCTGGTTGGGGAATTTAACCTCTGGCACAAGGACCCCTCTGTGTGCTAGATGTTCTCATTCCTAAATAACACGTGGGGCCCTCTTGATCATCTTTTCTTCCAAGAATAGAATGTTCAGGATAGACATTGAGCCTAGATATAAAGCTGGGGCCCTAAGAACTGGTCTGCCACCCCAAAGGAGTCCTCTAGTAAGGATTTAAGTTCCCCTTTTGGATTTCTGACCTCAGAAATCTACTTCCTCCCCCTCCAAGGGGAGTTTCCCTAAGGAGATAAAAAATCTGGGGCTTTTCTGTGGGTTTGAAGTGAGGGAGATTTTGAGGTCTTTTTTGTATTGTTCAATTTCTGTCAGTTGGGACAGGAAGGGATATATTGAGTGGGGTGGGGGAGGCTCATGGATGGCCAAAGGAGTTGGTTCCCCTGCTGTCTGGGGAGATCTGGTCATTTTTCTTGGAGCTCAGTTTGTTCTCATTATTTCCCATAGTAATACTTTTCTGTTACTGTGATAAAACACCATGACCAAGGAAACTTAGAGAGGGAAGAGTTTATTTGATTTACAAGTTCCAGAGGAATAGGATTCCACTGTGGCTGGGAGGTATGGCAGGAGGCCGCTGGAAGAGAAAACTGAGGACTCACATCTTCAGGCAGGCACAGGAAGCAGAGACAGACTGGAAATGGGATGGGGCTTTCTACTCTCAAGTCTCTCCCCAGTGGAACACTTCCTCCAGCATGACTGTACCTCCTAAAGGTTTCATGACCCTCTCCAAATAACGCCAACAAATGGGGACCAGGTGTTCAAATGCTTGGAGCCAATGGAGGATACTTCATTGAAATCACCACACCCATTCTGGTCTCTAAATTGAGTCTCCTAGTGCCCCAAGGGCACCCTCTATCACCCTCACCCCCAACCCCAGCCCACCCTGGTCCCTAAGGAGATTTCTTGTACTGCAAGTCTGGTTTTTTGCCTATTTCCCGTTGGTTCCTCTTGGGATGGTGTTCAGGCTCCAAACACCTCTAGAGCTTTGGGTCTCTTCATGCTGGCTTCCCTTTCAGTTGGGCATCTCATTCACTCTCAGCTCCCAGAATGTCCTTTCTACCAAGGCAGCACTGCCATCCCCATGACTTTTCTTACCTTGTTCTGTGCAGAGTCACCTGGTCCCCAAGGCCCTGGCTTTGGGCCCTCTCTCCATCCCACTCCTCCCCCATTGCTGAGAGAGATTACTGATCTAGGGAGCACCAAACGCCCAAGTCCTGGAGTTGCTACAGTGAGGCTGGGGGACAAGTTTCCCCAAAGTTGGAGTTCTGGACTTCTTCCCAGATGGAATTAGAATCCTGGGCTGAATCCCCAAATTGTTTAAATCTGAGGTTCAAGGTCCCTTACCAATACTGCAGAAAGAACACATGGAGAAAGCAGAAGTAACTGGGCAACGCAGCTTTTACTTTTGCAAAAGGGTGTGTTGTTTCATTATGGTAGTGAGTGAGTATACTGAGCGAGTTAGGTAGATTTTTATACTAATGAGTACTAATTCTTCCTCATTGGGGTCCAGGCTCAAAGTCGCATAACTGTGTCCTGGGGGCCTTGATGGGCAGGGGTGCCTTCCCTGCAAGCTCAGCCCTGACATTAGTGAGGCCCAGGGTAGGAGTAGAGATGGAGGTTCCTCTACTGCAGGACTAGGCTAGTTCAAAAAGAATCAGCAGCTGAGCCTGGTGGCGTACGCCTTTAATCCCAGCACTTGGGAGGCAGAGTCAGGTGGATCTCTGTGAATTGGAGGCCAGCCTGGTCTACATGGTGAGTTTCAGGTCAGCTGGGGCTACAGGGAGACCCTGTCTCAAAAAGACAAAAAATAAAAAAATGGGGAAAAAAATCAGCCAAGGAAAGGAAAGTGGGAAGGGGTCTGCTGCTCAGGCCTTCAAGTTCTGAGATTGCAGCAGGGCCTTTGTCAGAAACGAGTTTTACAAGGTAGGAGAGATTACAAAATAGCATTGCAAAGGTTACATTCCTGTGATCATTTTTTTTGATAGATTGGAATTCTTTGCAGTCATTTCGCTCACAAGGCAGTAGTGGGTAAAGATCACTTTCCATCTTTTTTATCCCTTGTAGCCAATCCTTTCAGTGGGCTGGCTATGGATTTTTTTTTCTTTCTTTCTAGATGAAAGCTAGCTGCAGTTACTGTGCAAACTTGAGTCTTAGTCTCAGTTCAGAATGAGTTTGATATCTTTCCCGTCCTCCAAGCCCCACCAGTCTCTTGTTGACATAAGTTTATTTTAGGACTGGTCCTCTCTATTTTGCATCCTTTAGCTAACCCACCTCTACAAGTTGCTCCTGAACATGTGTAGGCTGTGCCATGTAATCCCACACTTATTTGTGCCCTTGCGTTATCCTTTCCACAGTTAACTGCTTAAAGTTACTTTCATGTCTTCTATTTTGTCCTTGGTGCGTTTGCCTTGTAAGATGTTGAGCATAAAACTGAAATGACTTAATGCATCAGTTGTGCCAGGACATAAAAGAAGGGAGCATGTATAGTAGACCATGTGCCAGGCAGGCACTGTTCAGAGTACATTGCATATGTTAAATTCATACAAAGATCCTGTGAAAGACAGTTATTAATTTCTCATTTTACGGATGCAGTAACTGGTCCAAAAAGTGAAGGAGAAATTTGCCCAGGGTGTTACTGAGCTATTGAGTGATGGAGACAGCACAAACCCAGGCAGTCTGACTCCAGGATCCATCTTTTTTTTTTTTAAATCTTTGGATCTGGGGATAGAACCTGGTCTTTACAAGTGCTAAGCAAGCACTTTTACCACAGAGCTGCATCCCTAGCTCTTAGAATCCATATGCTTAATCTAATTTCATTAAAAACCAAAAAAAAAACCCCACCCCAAATCAAGGATTTATTGTATTTGAGTGATGGTGTGCCATGTTTTACATAATTGTTTATTTCTTACAGGAACAGAGGAAAATAGGCACTTTTCTATTCTTTTTTTTTTTTTTTTTGTTTGAGACAGGGTCTCCCTGTAGCCCCAGCTGACCTGGAACTCACTGTGTAGACCAGGCTGGCCTTGAACTCACAGAGATCCACCTGCTTGTACTATCCCTACTTTATAGATAAAAATTGAGGTATAGAGAAATTAAATTTCTATAGGGCATGCAACTAATAGGCCTGGGGCATTGAATTTGTCTGTGAACCCAAGTCCAGAACTCCAGCTTTTTGCTATCCAGTGCCCGTGGACCCACCTGCTGTATGACTCCAGTACAAAATATTGGTATTGTGGGGCTGGAGAAATGGCACAGCAGTTAAGAGCTGACTGCTGTTGCAGGGGACCCAGGTTCGCTTCCTAGCACCTACATGGCGGCTAAGAACCTGCCTTAACTCCAGTTCCAGGGGAATCCGACACCTCCTTCTGACACCCTCTGCTGACCTCCGTGGCATTGTACAACATGGGTGCATTCACATACATGCAGGCAATACACTCATACACATAAAATAAAAATAAATTATTATAT